TTAAATAATTCTTTGAGAGAGACGCAAAAGTGGATGCTCAGAGGGCTTCATAGACAGGTTAGAGTGAATAAGTTCATACAGGACAGCAAACCTGTTTCTGAGCTGCAGATCACGTGGTCGGGGAGATGAAGAGCTTCTGTTTTTAATGCCAGACATTGCCACAAACATCGATAGAAGATGAATGCATTTTTTGACGAAGGCTACTAAGGAAACAAATAGCCTGCTGAGTGAAGCTACTTAAGTAGCAACTAGCATAGCTTTATCCACCTTATCTTCTGGTTAAAAGTCCAACTAAACTCTGATATGGGTTCCTTACTGACCTGTACCACGGCTCTTAAAAGGCTGTTTGAAGAACACCACTACACCATACACATTGACAACAGATCCAGCTTTCAAGCTGTCCAGTTTGGCATATGTGTACTTTGGAGCCTTGGCTGAAGAAAGCTGAGGAGAAGCAAAACTGTGTTAAAACACCAATATGAGCATGTTAACATTCAGCCACAGACACGCCGACAGATCATGTCAATTCTGCACTGATAAATTCTGCAACTTAATACATGTCCTGTATTTGAGGTGTTAAATGCTACTACCTACAATTATACAAAAACAAGTATCTGTTCATTTCTGACATCTTCCTTGTGCTCCTTTAATATTTTGTATTATGACTGAAGACAACTGAGCAAGTCCCAGAAGCAGTCCCTGTGAACAGCCATCGTTGAACAGAGGGGATGGCTTAAGATGCCAAAAATCCAGACTTTCTGTACAAAATCAGCTTTAGGTTTTAAGGCTTCTGAATATTGTCATTTAGACAATTAAACAATTAACTGTGTAATTTGAGGGTTTTTTTTAAGCATTTTGGCTTTAGCTAAAAATATACTTATTATTATCATCTGCTGATTTGTACATGTTTTAAGCCATTTGTGAAAACAGCAATAGCAAGCTTTAAGGATTGGAACTGACACAAGTTTAGCAATTTCAATTCCATTACAGATATCACTGATCGATTCGATTCCTTATTGATTCACTTATCGATTGTCATTGTGTTCTCATTAACTGACCAAGAATTTCAAGGAATTGGAATACTGAGAACCGGTTTTCTGCAAGACCCGGTTCACTTCCAATCCCTAGCAAGCAGTTATTCAAAGATCGATTTTTAAAGGCTTAAAGAAGCTGTTAAACAATGACAAATAGGCAGACACAAAAGTCTGGGGACATCCCAATTCACGGAAGGGTACGTTAGGACAGCCCTTAAATGACATAAAGCATTTTGACAGCTACCAGACCTCCAAGACACACTCCAGCAATCTCTATAACTAAACAGGATAGTCATTCTGACCTCAGCAGAGACTGGGGATCTCCTTTCGTTGGCTGGTGGGGATCTGGGGTTAGGAAGCACTGGACGCAACACCTAAAAGGAGACAGGAGAAAGAGGTGAGGTGAGGTGCTTTAGTGATTCCCCCCCCCCTCTACATTATAAGGCCTTTTGTCAATTTAAGACTAATAAATGTTTAAGATGATTTTGAAGACCTTGTTGGACGTCATCAAAATGGATTTTAATGAACTGTTAACATGACTTTATATGACTTCTATAAAGTTTCCTGTACATCTCCTTGGCAGACATAATGCCATGTGATTTGCAATGCAACAGCATTAAGATATACGGCAAATTTAGAGTCACCAGGTAACCTCACGTGCATATCTTTGGACTGTAGAAGGACATGCAGAACAGTAGTAGTCACATTAGTAAAGCATGTGTGATTAAATGTTACTTGTTAATAACAGCAAATGTAATGTTTTAGTTCAGGGGTTGGCAACCCTAGGCATGCGTGCCACAGTTGGCACGTGAAGGCTTAACTGATGGCACGACCATGGCTGGACTGGCCATCGAGCATACCGGGCATTTGCTGGGTGGCCCGATGATTTTTATTTTTTTTTTGTAACAGTATAAACAAAAAAAGGTGGTGGATTGGCCAGATGCTGGCCGGTGTGTTGTTTGGTGGTGGCATCGCAGACCTTCCACAGATTCAGTAAAATTA